ATGCGTTGCTATGACTCAAAATTCATTATAAGAAGAAATTCACCAAAGATTGATGATAAAATCCTTGGAAATTAAATTGTCCCACATCTTGGTCCGGCCTCAGGTTTGGAAGCTGAAAAGGGAGAAAGCCAAACACGAAACAAACTGGTTATTTTGGCCCAAACCTCTTTGGGTAAGAATCAACGTGAGATGCATGAGCTTCGCAGAGGCGTTCTCCGGAGGCCCGGCAGCACAGGAAGTGAGGGGTCTGGAGGTGTGAGTTATGAGTTGCTAATTATAACTACTCATTGGTAGTGACACTTATACACATGGGCAGGCGGGAGCTTTCTCCCGTGAACGTCTCCACTTAGAGATGAAGTGGGTGGTCTTCAGGTCTGCCTGACAACGCTGGCCCAAGCCCCCCACGCACTCACCGCCTAGCTCTCACTCATCAATCTCTCCAACGGCTGTGTTAGACATGTCCCCACTTCATAGACACGGAAACTAATGTCACATGAATAAAATCTTTCAACCTTCCAAAGGTCATGTTCTCACAAAAAGCTCAAGCTCACAGGAATGCAAGCTCCATCATGATATGCTCAACACTTTCTTTCCGTGGAACGAGCAAGAGGGTGTCTTCTCTGAGCCACGTCCTCTTTTAATAATCAAAGGCAAATCTCACATTTTGACGACCTTAACATATTTTGATTTACATACAGGTTAAATTCCACTCTAGGACAATGGTTCAATTGGTGATGGTGAAATGCAAGAACACAAATGGAAATCAAGGGCCTCCTGGGTGGCACTGTGCCCTGCTCTTGCGCACAGATCTCTGCTGCCCAGAGACTCACCTAGAATCTGTCCCTTCCCTGGCTTCAAGGTCGTCCACCAGTCCTGATGAGCACAGCCTTCACCACACCAATCCGGAGACAGCTCCCCTCCCTGGTACAGACGTATCTACCAAGTCCAACTGCCTGACCTAAAGTCAGACTCTGAGCGTGGGACATTTGTGCTGGGGGAGAACGCCTCTCCTCTGAGCTGGGCAGACAGCCCCTTGCAAGCCTGGGGTCAGCTGGGGGGTGGGAGTGGGGCTGTGCTCAGGCCCTGCATGCTGGCGGCTCACTTGTGGGGCCAGACCACGCTGCCGGCCAGTGTCTCGTGGTTCTTCTTCCAGGGATGGGGCCGACTGGTTTTCTTTTTTCTTAGTAGTCAGAAGAAAAACGCTGTTCCGGGAATACAACATTGCCAACACTCCAAAGCACATTAGTGAAAAGTAGTAGGAACTGAGCATTCTTAATCCAGAAATCTGAAATCCAGCATATTCCAAAATCCAAAACTTACTGAGTGATACCATGTGTGGAAAATTCCACACCTGACCCCCTGTGGTGAATCAGAATCAAGTTGTAGGTAAACTAAAAATACTGTATAAAATCGACTTCAGGCTATGTGTATATGAAACAAATGAATTTCATGTTAAGACACAGGTCTCATTTCTCAAAATGTCTCCCTATTTATGTATAAATATTCTAAAATTCTGAAAAAGTCACTTCTGGTCCCACAGGAGGGATTCTCAGCATATGTTGAGTACCCTCCTGGCCAGGTGGTTCACTTCAGCCACAAAAGGGCAGGGCCAACACGAAGAAGCTGGCCCAACCGCCACCATCCAGTATCTTGTTCTTTAGACTCTGTACCCCATCTCCATGCCAGCACCCCTTCCCTTGGTTCTCTGGATCCTTCCCCAAAGCACTGCTTGGTCAGCGGAGTTGCTCCCCGTCCTGGCTGGTCACCAGTGCACATCCTCTCCTGTTGGCCTGGCCACGTGACTTGTGTGAGCCCGTGACGTGTGAAGCGGACTGCGTCTGCCTTCTCTGAGCGGAAGCCTCACAGTCTTCACGGAATTTTGCCTCCTGCCTCCTTCCTGAATGCTGGTGGCTCCCCTCCTGGGCAGGGGGACGGCAAACCACCCCACCCCCAGAGACAGATGGGAGCCAGGCCCTCAGCTACACTTCAGGGGACGATGGTGTAAAGAACTCAGCCAGCGGCTCACATGAGTAATACACTCATGCTACTGACTGGCTCAGGGCTTTTCAGAGAAACTCTGCACAAGAAACAGGATGCTCAAGCGCAAAGATTGTTGAAGGGAGTCGTTTCCTGTTCAGAGCAGAGCATGGTGCCAAAGAGGAGGCTGACCACTCGCTTTTGGGACATCCCCTGGGTCCTTCCCTTGCCTCCACTCTGTATGGGGAACCCGAAGACAAGGCTTGGGTCTCTCCCTTTCTCACTTCCTCCTCAGCCCCTCCCTGCAGCAGCCACCACAGCCACGGCGGCTCCACTCCTAGAAACTCTGGCCACTCCTTGCAGTGGCCCTTGAGGGAGGCACCCTCAGTGACCCCTCTCACAGACAAGGTCTTTACTGAGGATGGGAGAGGTAGGGGCTGCTGCCTGGGGTCACACAGGTCATGAGAGATAGAGCTGGGGTTCCAACAGAGTGGGTAGCTTCCACACCTGCACAGATCCTGATGCTGAGGAGAACGGGCCGGAGCAGGAGAGAGCCACAGGGTGGGGGGAGCATGGAGCTGACAGCACAAAGAAACAAAGCCCAGGCTGCTTTAAGGGAGAGGCTGGGGTTCGCCTGTGGTGGAAGAAGGGCTGGGGAGCAGCAAGGAGTATAACAAGGAAGCGAAGTAAGACACCAGCAAACGCGCAGAGGGCACCTCATGCTCACGCTGAATGCACATGAATCAGGACTGCAAGAGTTTGGGCGCTGGTTTGGTTCTGATGATCTCCTCAGCAAGGTTGAACACTAGACATTAAACAATTTTACAACAGAAAATGAGATTCTATGACACAGCCCTGAGAGGAAGACAAGACCTTAGAGAAATAAGCTCTTTCCTTCCCCGAGTCCCTGGTTTGTCCCAAAACTTCTTTACTCCACCAAGCTAATCAACTCCTGGCCTTTCTCCCAGCCTCCTCTGTGCACCTCCTTGTAAAATCCAGTCTTAGCAAGGCACTGCCTGGCCAATTCAGCAAGGGACAATTCCCTCTACCCTTGCTGTCTGCATATCTGATCAGAGCTTCCGGTCCTCTGCCTTCCCCAGGCCTGACCACCCCAGCCTTCAGTGAGAACCCTGTTAGATCATTTTAGCCAGAATCATTCTCTAACCTCAGTTTCTTCTGAGTTACTCTCCATCTGTTGGCCCCCACCCTCTTCTTTGGCTATAAATTCTTTCTTGTTCACACTGAATTCAAAATTGGCCAGTTCTACGCTGAGTTCCCTCTTTCTCCTGATGCAATGCTTGTGAACAAAATCTGTTATTACTCCTGTAGCTACTGACCAGCTCTGGCTTTCTTTTCACAAGATCCTAATTAGAAATGAAGCACAGAAACCTGATAAGTTACCTCTGGGAGTGTGTCCCATTTGGGAGAAGAGGCCTGCAATGGAGGACCCTGAAGGGCTAGAGGGGATCATGGGAGACACAGAAGAGCTGAACCTGAGGCAGGCTGAGGGTGCAGCTTTGTTCCCCTGGATTTGCTCCAGGAAGCCTTCGGGTGGCCTGGCCTTGCTCAGTACTGCCTCCTCTCTCAGCCACCCTAGTAACGGTGCTGACATTTAAGGGATCAGTTGGCCCCTGGCTTCCTAAATGAATACAGGTAACAAGGGCCTGGAGTTAAGTCCTAGAGAACCTGGCTGTTCTCCAGTCACTGGCTCCTGTAGTCTATAAGAAGATGGGCTGCAGGTCACCTCTCAGGGGGATACAAACACACCCCAGGTCTGTGAGGTCCCAGGGCCACATGGAGAGAATGTCTTCCCCTCAGAAGTAGACACTTTACACAACTCCATGCCTTTCTGCAGTCACTAGAGGAAACGCTAACGTTCTCCTCTTCCCCTCTGGAAACACACTTTCTTTTCCCCTGGACTCCACAGACAGAGGGATCATTTAAGTTGGCTATAGAAACATACAGTCTTCTCCCCAACCTTACACGCCCAATTCCCTCTTCTCAGTGGGCAGAGTCCTAGTGGGTCACTAGACCAGGCTCTCTGCTTTTTCCTGGGCACAGGGTTGGACTACATTTCCCAGTCTCCCTTGCAGCCAGATGTGGTCCTTACAATGGAATGCAGGCATGGGTACACACCCCTTCTAGGCGGGGACAGTAAGGCCCACCCACAAGCCTCCTCCAGCCTCTTTCCCCTTCTAGCCTATTGGCTCAGATCCCAGCCTGGGACACTGGAGGCTGCATGCTGAGAGCCTTCACCAGCTGAGGTCCTTGAATGATGGTGATGCTTGGATGTGGGCAAACACTGGTATTCTCCAGGTCGAAGCCATTACCCTTGCTGCAGCAGCTGGTGTTCTCTGTGGCCTGACTCATCTGACCGGCATTCTACAGTGTAATTTGGTATTGTCCCTGCCTTCCACCTGTGCCACAACAGTGGGAGGACAGCTGATAGGGTGGACACTGGTATGCATCCAATATATGAAAAAAAAAAATGCATGCACCTTCCAGACCCAGACCAAGTGCTCCTGGTTCTTAGCCATCCTCCCTGAGTCCTCTTGACAGTGACCTGCACTGTGACCTGTTTGATTCTCACAAAGCTCTGTAGGACAAGTAGGGTGGTGGCTATCATGTCCATTTCACAGAAGAGAAAAGTGAGGCTCAGGAAGTCTAAGCACCATGTCCCTGATCATGGCATGATTGGGTGCCAAGCTGACCTCAGGACTCAGGGGGCCGAGCATTTCCTTTCCTTTTTTTCCTTTTTCTCCAGCATCCTTGTAGTGAGCTAAGAAAAAGAAATTCCACTGTGGCCACGGAGAGGCACCACCAACAAGTCATAGTGAGGGGGAACAGAAATTAACATTGACTTCAGAGTGATAAGCTAAGTTCAGAACAAGCCTGGCCCATCGCATCAGCATTCCCCCTTCTAATTTTAAACACTGAGGCACAGAGAGGAGAGGCTGCGGTTAGTAGGTGCTATCTCTGCTGCTGCTGAGCCAAGCCAGGCTGAGAAAGGCAAGAGTACTTACTTGATTTCTCCTCTCTGATGGGATACTCGAGCACCTGGGAGGAACCACCACTTAGGGATGGGACACGGACGCAGAGCACCAGGCGCTTTAGGCTGCTGTCCCGGCGGACCAGGAACAACTGAAACCAAAGAGAACAGGGCAGTTTGGTGAATGGGAGGTGTATGTGTAGACCAGAAGCTCTACGGTGGGTGGAGGCCTTTGGAAGGTTCCTGAGACAAGGGAGAGGAGGTTAAGCCTCTTCTACCCCAAAAGCCATGCAGCACCTGGCCCACATCCAACAGAGGCTCCTTGAGTCCTGACTTCCCATTTGCCCGCTGGGCAGGTCAACCAAGCCAGTTTTCCTCGGAGGGTGGCACAGACCCAGAATGCATAGGGTGGGAGCTGCAGTGCCTGGGCTTGCTCCTGAGATTCTCTGCATGTGGGGCTACAGCTGGGTGTGAGGTGGGGTCCAGGGACCCCGGGCTTAGAATAGCCCTAGCATAGGGAGGTCACATGGAACCACAATTTTGGATGAATTTCAACCCACTCCCCAGCACACAGCTCTGATGAAAGCTTTGGAAACAATCACAAGTATCAGTTAATTTACATTTTTTCCCCTGTAAAAACAAAAATAGCTAGTACTTGACATGGAGCTCTCTGACAGGAGCTATTACACTTCTTCACATACCTTAACTGGTCCCATCTTCTCACATACCCCATGCTATGAATTTCCCACCATCTCCATTTTACTGAAGAAACTGAGACACTCTCCGATCCTCTCAGGACCCGGTTCCCTCAGGCAGATGCTAGGGCTGAGCCCATCAAACAAGCCCAGGAAGGATAGCCTGGCCAGGGTCTCCAGGTGTTCAGCCCCTGCACTCTGGGACCTGGTGCTACAAGGCTGCTCTGCACAGACCCCACGGCACGGTACTGACAGAGGCTTTCTTCTGCAGCATAATCCTTCAGGCTGACTGAACAATGCCTCCTGGCCCTAGGACACAACTGTTCTTAGTAACCAGTCACTGGTCCAGGTCTGAGCTGGAACCAGCGTCCCCCCGCTCTGCCAGGGCTTCTGCTCTGCTCCTGGAGGACCCCATGGACAGTGCCCTCCCCATAGCAGTCACCAGGAAGGGACGCTCTACTACCCATCACAGACTGTTGGTTTATTGTGTCCATTTCAGTCCCTCCTGGCCCTGCCCATACTTTTCCCTACTTCCCTGTTGACACCTCCTACAATCTCCTCAGGCTCCAGGACACGGCTTCACTTCCACACTCACCCCTAAGTCTCCACGTGCCTGGTCAGTCTACAGGACAAGGAGTGAGGCCCGGATTGCTGAGTGAATGCTGGACAGAGGGTCTCTGAGACCCCACAGGGGGAGGATGTGGCCCTGAGCACGGGAGACTCTGTGGGAGCATTCCCATTAGGCTCCAGGTTCTGCTGCCACTATCACATGTGACCAGTCTTTGTAGCATTATAACTGCTAACACAATATTGTTAGTAAGCATAATAATAGCACTACCATCGACTCCATCACCTGCCACGGACTCCCCGTGCTGCACAATAGTGTACTAGCTCCCATTCCATTTTCTTATTAACTCCACGAGGGGTGCTATGATTATCCCAATGTTTTAGAGGGAGAATTGAGGCAGACGGGGGCAGTAGTGGTGCGGATCACGGAGCAGGGAGTGCTGGGGCTGAGCCTTGAACTCCCGCCCCTGAGCTAGACCCTGGCTGCCATGACCCGCCTTGCCTCATTGTTCGTTTGAGGTCTTGCTCTCTGTGAGTGTGCACAGCCTTGCACCAGCGACAGTGAATCCATTCTTCACGAGCCGTGGTGGGACTGGGACCTGAGTACAGGGGTCCCCCGTTGTGAGCAGGGCGGGCAGGAGGGTTGCTGGCAGTGTGGGGTGCAGCAGGAGCGGACTTCTCTAGCCAGCAGGAGGCCATTCACCGCCAGACGCCCAGGCCAGCCCTTGCTCTCTCTGCGGCCTTGCCGGGGCTCTGCCATGCCTCACGCTGGGTACTAACGTGGACACGAACTGACCCCAGGACACAGCCTGCAGGAAGAGGCTGCTCTGCTGTTCTCCAGGGGTTTGAGCTGCCTCTGCTGCAGCAGTGTGTGGGCCAGCGTGTGTGTGAATGGTGGAGTGTGTGTGTGCAGGTGAGTGGGAGTGTATGTGAGTGTATGTGGGTCGAGTGAGAGTGGGAGTAGGCGTATCCATGTGAGTGGAGGTGAGTGTGGTACAATAAAAAGCTGAGCTCACCCTCGCCCCGATTCCTGGTGCAGAGCTCTATCACCCTCCTGCCCCATGCCCCAAGGGCTGCATTAAGTCTGTCTACCTTAAGGAGCCCTCTTCACAAACCTGGGACCATGCCAGAAGGGCGGTGACTATTACGTCCATTTCACAGAAGAGAAAAGTGAGGCTCGGGGACTCTAAGCACCATGTCCCAGATCATGGCTTGATGGGGTGCCAGGCTGACGTCAGGACCCAGGGGGCCAAGCATTT